CGACTTAACATGATATCCGGACTTAATCGGTATAGCTGAAACCGGTTAAGTACGGAACTGAACTGATATTAATTTACTGGACTGAACTGGACCCGGAAACTAACTGAAAACAGGACTTAAAAACATGAATCGGGATTTAACTGATAATTTATGGACTGAATCGATCCGAACCGGTTGAAGCCGGTCTGAACCGGTCTGGCCGAACCGCCGGTCTGCCTGGACCGGTTGGTTGGCTACTAACTCGGTCCGCAGCCTTGCCGCGGCTGCGGGCGCGACTGCGGATAGAATTGGGTGCGGGCATGGCCGCTGCCGGGCCTGCCCTGGCCACGGCCGAGAGTGCTGGGTGCACTTGGCCATGACGGACATGAACGAGACCTGACCTGGAGTGTTGCCGAGTGCTATGTGCACCGGCTGCCGTAGAACTGGGCACAGTCGGGTGTTACCGCACACCGCGACGTGCTACTGGGTTCTTGAATGCGCGCACAACACTAGCTGGACAGGATTTGCGCTGCGCGAGCCACTGTCGTGCGCTGCTGCGCGCTGGCGTACATTACCGCATGCTGGCGTGCATGCCTGGGTGTTGGCGTGCGCATGCACATCACCAACAGTTACCTGCTGCGGTTACTGGCCGCTCGCGGTACCATACCGCGCATCACCTTCGCACCCGCGCACCGCCGGTACGCTACGGCCGCTAAGTGCGGGCAGCGTAAGTACGACCGACCCTCGTCGGTCGTCCGGCGGATTTCTCCGGCAACTACTACATGATTAAACTTAATCTATCATAACATGATCATATATGCTGATTTAACTTAAAACATGAAATTTTGCATAAAAGCTGGACTCGGCCGCGGCGGGCGCAACGTGCGCCGCTGACGGCGGTAAGCCATTTTACGACCGTACTCAATCTTCTCTCGGCAACTCTAACTCAACTGAATGTGAAATATCACTTACTAAACAAAATAACAGGAAGTGCTCGAAGGCCTAAAACTTAACATACTTGTTACAAGTGCCCGACCCGTGGTGCTCGCTACGTGCGCGACCACGTCCCGGTGTCGAACCACCGAACAACATGAATATTCTCCCGAACAACTTAAGCTAAATAAACATGATATACCATGAAACGGCTGATTACATTATTATTGCTCGAGAGACGTTAACTTAAAGCATGAGCATGCTCGCGATGCACTCGCACGGCCGAACGGCTTAAAGCCGCACCATGAACATGAATAGTTCAGAATTAACATGACCTTAACATGAGTATTCTAAGGTAATCTGAAGTTACCTTTGCGACCCTCGACCGATCACGCCTCCGTGCGTGACGATGCTCTCGATGCGCGCGGTGATGTGCGATGCTAGCCTCTTGTCGTGCGGTACTTGCGGTAAGCTCGGCGTGCGTGTGTGTCTCCTTAAGAATTCTCTCAACACGCAACTCTCCTTACTAACTCTCACTCTTAATATATATGTATACGCTGAATAAATACTTAAGGGAAAGTGGGAATTTTCCCAAACCTCTAACATATATATACTAAGCCGTGGGAAGGATGATGAGGTGTTGAGACTTAACATTAACATGACACTTGTTAACCATAAGGAGCTTAAGAAGGCTTAGTCCCCAATCTTTG